AGCAATTCTATGGTTCTATTCAAAAATCTGATAGTTAACTTAGGGAAAATAAATTAAGTTCCACATAATTAATGTTAGCATTGTTAATCAGGATATTTGAAAGGAAAAATAATTTTTCTCCAGAGATGAAAAGAAAATCCTATCTTTTTGAAAATTGGGGGTTTTGTTCATTTCAGTTCTTAGAAAAATGAAGAACTGGCTGGGGTCGGGCATAATGAAGGCAAATTCTGAAATGCCCTTTCAGAACTGCTTCACTATCCTGACGTGAACTTTCTCGGATATTCCAGTAGTCTTCAGAGAATAATGTTGGTAATACTGCAGAGTTCTAAATTATGATTTAACAGTGCTAAATTCTGACTATTCATAACTTTGTGCATGAAAAACCTGATCCATGTGCTCAAATAAAAGCATCACTCCAGTAAAGTAGGCTATGGCTTTTATGCAGAATGATGAATGGTGTCCAATATTTAAAACTAATCTATTGTTACTTTTGTCTCTCTTCATTCTGAAGTTCTTTTGTTTCCCATTTATGTATTGTGGGGTGGAGAAAATGACAGATAACGCACTTGTGTCATGGACAATTATTGCATGATTAGGCAACATCATACATAAAGGAGCAGTAAGTGACAGATAAATAGGAACTGTTGTGCTGCATTAGACTAATGGTGCACATAGTTCAGTGCCTCTTGTCCTGCAGAGAGACAGTTCTAGGTGTCTGTAGATCTGGAACTGATGGGTTTGCACCTCAGCATTTCACAAAACCTCCATCAGCTCTGTGACAGCCCCTCTGCATGGCCTGTCATTCGGGAAAAACAAGGAACAGACTTTTCAACAGAAATAGGTACTATTTCACATCACTGTTAACTCTGAGGACATCACGGGCCTGATGCATTGTGTTTGGTTCTGACAGCTAACTCATCTTTGCACATCCATTGAGCGCTCATAAATCTTAGCTTCAGTTTTGTGTCTAAGGTCTTCAGTGTATTGAAAGTTTCAGTGTACTGAGAGTTGCTTCTGACTTTAATTAGCTAGCAGGGCATGTCAAGAGTTCTGAGCATTTAACAGCCTTCCTTCTTTCCCTCTGTGCCCTCTGTGTCACTTTTCACATCAGGGATTTTGAGCTGATGTATCTTGACCTTCATCTCGGTGGAAGCGGCTGTAGCTGTCGCTTACGTTGTTCTGCTCAAGTGTTAAAACATTTTTAAGTATTTAATTAAAGAAACTGTTCATGCCTGTTTTTTTTTTTGTTTTTTTTTTTTTTTAAGATGTTAGCCATATAAAATAAAAATAACAAATTGGAGCTGGCAAAAACGCAGAGTAAGGAATAAGCTTGGCTGCCTGTTGGGCAGTACACAATGTCAGTGTCAGTTGCTCGCTGGGGTCTTTTCACAGAGCTGATCATGAGCACTTTCTTAATGTAAGCTTGAAGAAAAGATGGCACGTTGAGAAGACTTGTCTCTCCCATGCATGACTTTAGGCAAAGGAAGGCATTCCGTAACATGTAATTCCAATTCTGTTGCTAAACATATGGTGAATGGTGCTGTTGCCAGCTCTGCAGGGAAAGCACGTGTGTAGGTGTGGGCAGGTGAGGGGCAAATTCCATTCCAAGAGCCAATCTCTAAGCAGTTCTACTCACAAAGCAGTGTTAGCCTAATGCTCTAAATCCAAGGGGGATTCTCGACTTTGCATAGTAAAATTACTTATTAAATTACTTATTAAATAAGAAGGCTAAATTCTAATAATTGGAGTGTAGTGTTCTTTTACTATGTGAAAATAAAATCAGCTGGCCACTAACGTCATTATTAATGTATAAGATGAGACAGAAATATAGATGGGCCTTAACAACACTTTGCCCCTTTGCCCCTTTCCCTCTTCCCCACAAAAAGCATAAAAAGCATGCACAAGGGCCTTCTGATAAACATTGTATCACTACAGTATTAAAATGTAGACAATTTATAAATTATCTTAACTTGAATGCAAGGCATCTTGTAAACAGTATTTATTATGTTCCCATTGAGATTAACATATAAAAGAAAATGTCCATTATCAATAACATTGCTTATTTTCTAACCAGGTGCAGGAATTATACTTTCAGCTACTCTAAACCTAATGTGTCCTTTTGTTACTCATGAGCAGCTTTTACAACTGTTCAGTTACATATCTCTTAAAGTAGTCATACTGCAATCTCTGCATTTTGAGTGGCTCGCAAATAAATAAAACAAGCTTTTTTGCATAAAAAAGACATTCTACAAACGTAATTAAGTATTAAAATCTACATTTTTATGAATATAATGTCTTCATATAGAAGATGAATCCACTGTAAAAATCTAAGAGGTTTTGCTTCCTTTTGTCATTAGGAGTAGTATAAAAGATTTTTTTTTCACATTGCAACACTGAGCACATCTTATGCCCTTGGAAATGAACTGCAGTGAATTTTGTTAAGGTTCTGTTCTCCATTCTCATTTTCACACTCAATGAGCCACTACTGTTTCAGTCCAAAAGGGATCAGTCAGTAAAGCTGCACAGCTGAAACTAGTTGCAGAGTCTAGTCAGATTCTTTGAAACTCATTTGTATTTAGCCAACAGTCTCAGACTGAGCTGCAAATACTGCTCAGGAATACAGCAATGACTGCTTTTTTGAGGGTAATTTGGGAATACATAATCAGATTCATGAAAAAAAAAAAAAACGAACCTTAAAAATGTATCATACATATCATGTTACCTGTATGATTTTATGAATATTAAAATTTGTTAACATCCAAACATTTTTTTATTTGCATGAATAGATTTGTGTTTTTCCTAAAAGTAAATATTGTTACTAACACACAACGTTTTATTAAAATTCAGATGTTGGTAAAGGATTAATAAAACTCCACAAAGTAGAAATGTAGGCTCATTGTAAGTTTGTCGTGATAAATGGTGTGAAAGTCTGGCAGTAACACAATCATTTAAACTGGTACTACATCTCCTGAGACTGTGATGAGGAAAGAAAACATGATTTTTTTCTTTTGAATCCTCCCTCAAATGCTGCTGTGGCACTCCAGAAAGACTCTTGAATGGGCATAAAGCAAAAGGCAGCAAGAGGGGCTCCATGCTGAGCTGAGGTTCAGAGTCACCTCGCGTTGCTGTCCTATATAGTTTGGCAGCCAGGATTGATACGGCATGATTAGGAAGGGCATGCAGAGTTTTTGGGACAACGTCTCTTGTGATTATGCACAGGGTCTGCTCTGGGGTGGCAGCGGAGGTGGCACAGAGGTCTTTGCATCTCAGGCATCTGGCCTGGCTACCCAGTTGTTGGACTAAGGAAGGTAAAAGGAGCAGTGGTGAATCTTGGGTAAAGATACAAAATTATTACCTTTATATTACTGCTCCTAAAATCAGTAGGCAGTTTGACACTGATGTCAACCGGGGCTGAGCAGGAAAAATGTATAACTTCATACAGAGGTTATCTATCTATATATATCTTGACTATCCTCACAACTACTATACCTCATAAATGATAACTGTACATCTTTTATCAGAGAGTGACACTTGATGACAAGAAGTTAGTTTACTGGCATGTCACCACAGCCACCAAGCTTTGGTTTTGAACACTTTCTGATAGAACAAGCATCCTCTGAGTCAGCATAGAGTCAGGCCTCACCTGTTCCCAGACAACTAATTTTTTGTGTATTCAAAGCAAATTAACCAAGATTTGCATACTTGTTTTTAACCGTGGCTTCTCTTTTGCTGCTGAACCAATGTTCTAGTTCATTTCTTCTTTTGTTTCTGTCAGAAATGTCATCGTAACACTGAGCAGAATATACCACTGCTGGTTGAAGGCAACTCAGCTCCACTGGCTGCCTCCTACCATCTAGTGGCACCTTCCGCACAGTGCTCACTCAATTGGAACAACTGATTAGAATAGTTATGCAGAGAATGATAATAAACACATACTTTTGAGTGGAGAAGAAACATTGTTGTGAAAATGAAAAATAGTATTCATATATATGAACAAGTTATGGGAGCCTAGAACAGTCTAAATTAGTAATGTCAGAGAAAAACTCTGTATACGGTGATTCCTGAAAGAGTGAGTCAGGTTTGTTGCTTGAGTTCTTACCCTTATTTTTGTGGTAGCACGTGGATTTTATGTTGAAAACTGCAGAATAAGACTATTTACATTAACAAAATGCCTATTGGAAACACGCTTGGTTTGCTGCTTACATAGACATTTAAACAGCCCAAACAAAAATTAAAAGACTTTATAAAAAATAAAGAGGAGAGTATAGTTTCCTTTTTGCTTCTACAATTTTATGAAGTGCTTTTGTAATAAATATTTCTATTTGCATGGGAACTGCCAAGTCACGGCCTGAACCTCTGATTGATCACCTGAGGCGAGCCATGAATCAGCCAGAGGAGCACAGGTGAAGGCAATTCTCCTGTGCTGCTCCTAGACCTATTTAAGAGCTGGCTACCAGTGGGGAAGGATCTCTTCTGGAGATCCCTTCTTCTGGTGCTTTCTGTAGGTAAGCCTTCCATTTATTCTCCTTATTATCCTAGTCTATTTTGCCTAATTCTCTTGTGATTATAACATCTTAATATCCATTGATTATACACTATTTCACTTGAGAAAAGAGATTAAATGTCAATTTATTAGGAATCTCAGTTTGGGGAGTTTTCAATCAAAAGGCAAGTTCTGACTAATTATATGGCTCTGAACAAACATGAATCATCTAAATGCTTTCTATTCTCTAAACAGATACTTTTTTTTTTTTTTTTTAATTATTTTCAAGAAGTGCTGGCTTTGGTGAATTAGACTACAGAGGAAACCAAATTTCTATGAAATTCTGGAAAAGGCCCATTTCTTTCTTTCCCCCCACAGCAAATTAACAAGGCAAATTGACAGAAGCTGGAATGTAGGAACTCTGCTTCCAGGGTACTTTTTTTTTTTTTTTTTTTCTTAAAAATTTGTGCTATTCAATATTCCAGTCATATTCATACATTATCATCATATTTTCCAGGGTGGAAAAATTCCCATCCGGTGGACTGCTCCTGAAGCTATAGCTTACCGCAAGTTCTCTTCAGCAAGCGATGCGTGGAGCTACGGGATTGTAATGTGGGAAGTGATGTCCTACGGTGAGAGACCATACTGGGAGATGTCCAACCAGGATGTGAGTACTCTACAGGACTAATCCGAATGTTGCTGAAATGCTCCTTGAAAAATTGTCTCTCTCTCTGCCTTCCTTTGCTTTCTCATTCATTTTCTAGGCTGGAACCTGAACTTATTTAAATCAGTATAACTCCATCAATGGAACAGTTAATCTATGCAACCTGAAGACTTGACCCACTATTTACTAATGCCTTGATGAGTTTCATCCAAAGGATTAAAGACATATTAGAGTTATAAGCAACTTGCCAGGCTCTGATGCTAGATATATATGGCTTTCATCCAAATCCCTGGGAATCTGCATCAGATATGCAATTTGATACAGTTCTCAGCTAAGCTATAAATCAAAATTTGAGGGAATACTGGAACTATTCTGATGATAAATATGGTCCATTATCTCCATTACACTCTGATGGTACCTTTCAGTAGGCACACATGGATAAATGCTAAAGGAGTGAAGGTTAAGCTGCCATGAGAAATGTATTTGCAAACTCTCCTTTTTACAAATTAAATACATTATAAAGTTTTAAGAATTTAAAGAATTAAGTGTTTTTTAAATCCTTAAAGACTATTCATAGGCTTAACTACAGTGCAGGACAATAACAAAGTAATACTTTCCTTTGACATGTTTGCAGAACTCACAGCCAAATAAGCTTTCCCAGTTAAAACACATCTAATAGTAACACTGAAGGCTTGTCCTAGCTAATGTCAAAAAGAAAAGGGAGAATGCCTTTTTATCCACCACAGTTTGAATTGCTACTGATTTTGTTATCTGATGCATACATACCACTGCTCAAACTGGCATAGTCATTCTTCCCACCAGCCATCAACCTTTATGTCAGAATGCAAAATACCAGCCAACCCATCTTAACTTCTCTATGTGAATAGAGTGCCTCTGCATGGGTTCTGAAGAGCTGACAAGACTTTTTTCCCAGATGGCTGTTTTCATACTGTTGCTAAGTTATTCAGCTGTTGAAGTCTGGTTGCTTGTTAAGGCTGATCAGTCATCTGGGGATAAGGATCTGAGAAAGCTTTTCATTAAAAAAGCATCATTTCAGAATGTGCAAAAAAAAAAGTGGAACTTAAAAAAACTTAAGGCCTTATTTCCTTTGGACTTGTACTCAGTAGTATGTATCCTACTTTTCTCCAGCATTATGCTTGTGAGTTCACCCTTTGGAATAAGATCACATCTCCTGTACATTACTCACTCCCCCTTAACAATACCTACAGCTTCTATCCCCTCTTTACTCAACTACCAGAGAACAGCCCAGCTCCCTGCTCTCTTCCTCAGTTAACACTGGGTATGGGATGATACATGCCTGGTTTTGAGCTGCCTTCCTGTTGATCAACCAGGCAGTGGCAGCTGATTGTCCATCTGAAGAGCAACCACTGAGCTGAGACACACCTTTTCCTTCAGCAGAGACATTTTGGTACTGCCTGAACTAACGCTTCACAGATCTGTTGTCAAAGAAGCAGATGAGCCCAGTAGGCTCAATTGTATTTTATACTGCTAGCAATGCATTAACAATTGAGATGACCTAGAGTAACTAAGATCTGCAATGTGGCTGATGCAGGACACACAGGAGATTCAAGTTATTCAGGAGCAACAACTGAAGACAACTAGGCAGGAACTTTAGGAAATTAAAAATTAAACATCTCTGTTTAAATAACTGAATTAAGCTCACTTTTTTTTCCCTGAGGCACAGTGTGCAATCCTCTGCATGCAGATTTCTCACATATTTAGGTATCTGTTTCACACAACCGAATATATCAACAGTAAATTTTACATTCTGCTCAGCTGCTGAGTTTAAAACAAGATGTTTAATTTGATTTAAGTGTGCCGGATAGATTTGAAGTTAATAGAAGTGGATGAACAGGCAGTCAGGCTAATAGTATGAGTAACCCACCCCAGCTGTTTCCTTGCCTGAACAGAGAAATGCTCATCAGCACCTGAACTGCCACAGCATACAAGCACTGATTCCCAGCAAACAGTCATTGTTTTCCTTAAAATGCCACACTGTGAGATGTGGTGTTTTAGGAGCTAAGAAGTTAAGACATCTCTTGTAGCCTTGCAATAGCACAGGGTGCTATTCTTGAGCTAATCTTCCATTCAGAAGCAAAGCTGAATGCAGTCAAGGCACTATCAGCCTGTCTGTTATATACATGCTGTTGCAAAAGCTGATTTGTATGCATTGCAATGGTTGCATCTGTATTGCATGGAAGGCACTTTATATCCAAAAGCACATGTATCCTGACGCTTTCTACCTCTCCAAACTAACAGAAGCAATGGTTGGTTTCATTGTGAGCCTTCTGTTAAGGTGAGACGGAACAGGACGTGAAACTGAGAAAATAGTATTACCATATCACAGAACAGCAAAGGCTGAGGAACACTTCAAGATTGTCTCATCCAACTCCCTCATGAAGGTCAGCTGAAGCAGTTTGCTTGGGGCCATCTCTCTCCTGGATTTTGAATACCTCCAAGGAAGAAAAACTCCACAACCTGTCAGGGCAATCTGTGAAGGTTCTTAGTCACCCTTGCAATAGAAAAATATATTCTCATATTTTTATGGAATTTAATATTTTTCAGTATGTGTCCACTGCCTCTTTTCCACTCGGCTACTCTGAGCAGTAAGAACATTAAACGTCCGCATGTGAGGAGGTCTTGTTCTTCCATCCCAATAAGCCTTTCCTAGTTGAGGGCCTATGCTACCCAAAACGTAGCTATGGCTCACAATCCTTTTTGCTCTTGCCCCTGTTAGTTGCCACTGCCATGCTACTCTGTGAGCATATCACAGCCAGTAGTCACTCACCTAGGTTTCTTCACTATGTAATTGGTATTTTACCTCTCAGTTCTATTTGCAGCACACTGTTCACATTTTTAAAAATGTAGAGATTATTGAAGTCCATGTAGCCTGAACAAAGCCTGTCCTATCATGATTCCTAGCTTCCATGCAGTGTCCTGCTGCTAGCTGTAGTGTCACCTCACTGTAACTCTGTCTCTGCCTTTAATTTTCTTACTCCATTTATCTAGCTCCACATGATGAGCAGCTGTGAGCAACTGCAACTCAAGCAGGTGTGGGAAGAGAACGCTTCTCTGATGCATCTTTGTGTCTCACTGTCACGCAATTTTGTGCTACCACAAGGAGAAGAATCTCAGTCCGTATTCTAGTTCTGAGACATTTCATCTGGTGTTGGGTTAGCTCTCTAGGAGAAACTCAGCCTTCACCTCTTTTACCTCTGTAATCTTAATACTTCCCTTCACGTGTACTCCAAGCTAGCCCTTGTCTCTTTCTCTTCTGTTCCTTACAACTGGATACAGAAAAAGTGGGAAAAGGGAACTTTCCCAAGTCTGTATGGCCCTACTATTCACCCCTTTAGAGAAGGTTTCATGTGATTTGTAGTACCCTTACAGAGAACTCAGGTGACCAGATTAGAGTCATACACAACACAGAAATTCATTTTTCCCTTTCTTTAAATCAGGCTTCAGGCCCGTTCTCTTCCTTCTGGCAGAAACTACAATTTATTCAACACTATGCCAACCATGACAATTCATTAATGACCCCTCCATTTAGGGCATATTAAATATTCTGCTACAGAAGGAGAATAACAACATTTAATCACGTGTACATCCAAAATATAAGTATCTGTTAGCACATAATAGTGATGTGGACCCTATGGATACTGCTTATGCTAATGATGCAGACTCCTGAGAGCTCTCCCTGCTGTTCACCAATGCACAGTGAAAAAGGCTCCTTTACTCTGGAGCCCTGCTCACAGGCTTCTGCTGCTGAAATGTTAACAGCAAGTACCTGTGACTTTCTAAATACATTCAGTGACTCTAAGTGCCATTGGGAAATTTCAAGTTGTATTGTAAAGCTTATTTTGCTGGATTTGGGGGCATGTGCTTATCCACATGAGCTTATTTTGCAGAAATAATAGGACTTTCCTAAAGGTTACTGATACTGTATAGATGGCAGGGAAAGTAACAGGAAGGAGCATGCACTAAATAAATTTATAAAAGACTGATTATACAAACAATTGTTGGTAAGGACTTGCATACATATAATCGACATTCTGCAACAGCAAAATATCTCTCAATAGTAAGAGTACATGTTAGTATTTTCTGGGAATTGTGTTTTGATAAAAATCTTCTTTATTTATAGAATTGAGCAGGGTTTTGTAGAGCACCAGTAGTTTTCATCCTACAAACTCCTCAGGTCTGGGGTATTTTTTATCATGCTGTCTCGTAAATTGCTTTTCTCTCTAAAAAATTTTGGGAAATTAGTTCACTTTCTGAGTTACAGCTAAGTCGTGTTTTGAATGGCAGCAGCTGCTAATTAAATGTATGTTTCTCATATGAATAAAATGGTAGCAAATTATATGCCCATCCCTACCCAAAGAAAGAAACAGCAGCAGAAGTTCTCTCAGCGTTGTCTGATGCTGCACCTCCTTGCCACGTGAGTACACCTTCCATCAGATCATAGAATCATAGAGTGGCTTGGGTTGCAAGAGACCATAAAGCTCACCCAGAGCCCCAATTAGCTCAGGCTGCCCAGAGCCCATTCAACCTGGCCTTGAATGCCTCAGGGATGGGGCATCCACAGCTTCTCTTAGCAGCCTGTGCCAGCGCCTCACCACCTTCTGAGTAAATAACTTTTTCCTAACATCTAACCTAAATTTCCCCTTTTAGAGGGGAAATGCGCAGATTAGTAGAGAGGGGCCAAACTGCTTCTGCCAAGGGACTCTTGTGTAGCCCCTTCATCACAGAAATGAAAGCTTGAGGAGCCAGCACAGGTAGCAAAGAGTCCAAGCTGATGTGAAGAGAAGTGTAAAGCTGATACCTGTCACCTAAATAAGCCCAAACTGATTTTCAGACACTGCAACAGTTCACAGGTACCCATTAGGTTACTGCAAGCCGGAGAAGCTCGACACCTTGCAGTTCTAGCATCCTCTATTTATATTCTTAAGCAGGGATTTGGAAGCTGAACTTTAGGCAACGGAGTTTGAAAATGTCTCTCATACATTTTTTAATACTGTACACAGTATAATGTAGAGGCTTGAAATGTTATTAACTTTGAGAAATGTTCTTGTTTGAGTAAATAACCATTTTATTATTGTGGTAAGTCACTTCAGACCTGTGTTGGTGCTGATTAATGCACTTCTTAGATGGGTGGCAGGCACCAGAGATGTCCATTAATTAGGGCTGCTGCACAGTCTGTCATGTCTTATTGCTTAATTAATAAACATTAGCTAAGATATTGAACTTTCCAAGGAAACTAGTGTACTGATGAACAGATTGTGCTGAGAGCTTGCCTGGCTAATGCCTGTGTGAGGAATGGAAGATTTATATTCCATGCACTTGGTTTGTAGAACAGCTGTGAGTAAAGTCTACCGGGACACCTGTTAGAGGCCACCGTATAAATTACTGCATGTTGCAGAACTATGGCATTCAAAAAAAGAATAAATAAATAAATAAGAACATTTAATGGATTGCAATCAATAGGCAAGAAAACTATTGTCGCAAACAGAGTGAAAGTCCTTACAATTATGGCAGTTTCTTGTAGTAGTAATAGTAAGTTACCCTGAAATATTTCCCTGAATCCACAGATTTCAAAGCACTTGGCAGCACCTGGAATTGGCTCAGTACCATGAGGTGCAAGCAGCTGCCTCTCTCTCTTTTCCAGCAGATTTATCAGATGTCAGCAGGACAGAGGGACATTGTCCCCTGGGGACGTCTTCTGCCTCTGTGCCATTAGAAAACCTGGCAGTTGAATGTCAAAAGCAAAGTCTTTATTGTTGATAATAATGGAACTATCCAAAAGATTATGGCTTTGTTAGCTTTATTTTTACATGCCATTTTTTTCCAAATGGAAATTAGTTTAAAGCTAAAGAATACAATTTTGTGTAGAAGTCCGTGCACATTTTTCAGACCACTTTTGTAGTATAATTGTGTTCAACCTTCACATCTGGTTCCAACATCAAACAAAAAATAATAAAATGTGTTTAACAAACTCTGATCATTAATGTCATTGGTGCATATAAAAAGACTGTTCCCCTTTATAAACCTAAAAGCCTAAGCATGAAAGAACAAATAAATAACAAGTTATGTTAACTTCAAAAAATCCCCTTTCCCTAGAGTTCATATTCTCACCTGTCAAAAAGATCTACATGTGTAAATGCACCCTGTCTGTTTTTCTCACCTCATTGCTGACCCACCGGATGTTCTCATGAGTTTTAAACATCCTCATCACTGAAAAGAAACAAATCGGAGTATGGAATATTGTACTATTTTACTCCATTCCCATCACGCATTCATCACAAAGCCTTTTTGTTAGCAGTCTCAGGGCTTGATATGTACAGAAATGAAGCTCATGCTCTTTTGCTTTCAGGCTGAAATTGATGGGACTTCACTGAGAGGCTTAGCATTGGTTGCTAGAGCTTTCGCTGTATCCTTCTTGTGGGTACAGACATTGAGCCCCTTTCATGATTCATATGGGGCTTCTTCAGCCTTCAAGCTGACAAGGAAAAATACCTTTAAAAGATATTAAAATATATAATCTTGATAGATTACATAATATATAATCATATGTTACACAGAAAAATGTCATACTTCTCCTCCTCTCATGTGATTGGATATCTGATTTCTCTGTTCAGAAATAGGAGCTTTGCAAGTAGCAGAGTAGGGAGTATTGAATTAAACAGTTCTTCCTCTGACACCTGAATCCCACTGCAGTGTTTGACACCTCTCATCACATCCACTCTACTTCCTTGACTCTAAAAATAATGCTTGCCTCAAAGGGATACTGATAAGGCAATATTTGGAGATTATTTTTAAAATATTCTTGTCTTAATGAGAAATTATAATTATTCCAGTAACAGCTGGCATTTCCCTTTATACTGAAATGTTTCTTTTGAAAAGGAGAGGGAACAAAATGGGCTGTAACTGCTTTTTTCAAAGATATCGTGAAATAGAGTATGTCAGAGAAAATATAAAGTCTGCAAAATTGCGGTTGCGTTTGCTTTCCTCATGAATAATTTATCTCAGAAAAAAATCCTCCTCCATTCTCCACAGTCGTGTCAAACAAATGCCGTCTGTCCCGTAGAAGTAGAGAAGCTATTCTTCTTCCTTAAAAACAGAGAACATTTCAGAAATGCATCAGTTACAATGGGTAGAGTTAAATGCAAAGACTCTGATATCTGCATTTCCTGCAGTGGCAATGACAAGTATCACCTAAGCTGTACCCCATAGTGTAATAAGCACCTGGGTTTTATGAAGCCACTTCTGGCGGTTTGCCTGAGATACTGCATTTTTGACAGCTTTGCGAATAACGTTTCGTGCATGTGGGACTGAATTTCACCCATCCTGAGTCTGTAACAGCAGCAATCTGGGAGCACATCCAGTGGTAGGAGGGCTTTGAGAAAACATTTCTCTGGCAGCCTGGTGGGATTTTTCCAAGGGTAGCCATTTTGGGAACCCACATTTTGGAGCATTGAAGCAAATCCTGGGGAAATAAAGAAGTAGCCAGGAAGGCAGGTGGAAGCATCACCATACAGCCCTGTAATTTACTGCTAGATATCATCACTGTAGGTACATGGCAAGTCCCATCTGTGTGCATGCAACTTGTCAGTACTTGCAGGTGCGCAGAATGCATAGATCTCTGGGGCAAATTCCATTCCTAGTGCTGCCACTGATGGCTTTGAAACTTACCCTGTAGAAAGCCAGTTTCCCATGGTGTTGAAACACATTATTCATGCGTACAAGTTTCTGCCCATGTACACGAGGCTGTGTATTGTAGGATCAAGTCACCTCATTTTGCCAAATACAAGCACCCCACTGTGTGCAGTTACAAGATTCTTGTTCCTTTCTCTGCCATACCGTAAAGGGGAGCTGAGGTCCTAATGTGGCTTCATTACCGTTATTTATTTGCATAATGCTTTCAGCATAAGCACTAGGCATTGGTAAACAGAGCCAACAACATTAATTCAGAATTCAAAAAGAACAAGGATGTATTCTGGGATAATGAGACTGAATATATTGAAGCTACAGCTAGTGCTATAAAACATTGATTTGCTGTAAATAGCTTAATGTACCCCCTTCCAGCTGCATTAATATGTCTGCAGCATGTACGTGCATCTATGTGAAAGTGATAAATGCCTCCTTAAAGCAGAGGAGCTATAAATGCAGTAGGTATGTTTCTCATAAGTGCACTGCATTATTATAAATATTGTGTTGAATCATTTGTATTTTAGAGAATGTTTAGCATTAGTTGTATTTTTATATGGAAGGGTAACGTGTGGGGCAGGGTTGCTTTTTTCTTCACTTTGTTTTTGATCAATGTATGTAATCTTTCCATTCTTTTACATACAGGAAGGCAAGACTGTCATTTCTGTCAACATCTCCACTGCTGCCATCATTCATTTCAGAACCTAATAATGTTTCCTTTTGCTTTCTAAAACTTACACAAGAATTAATCCTGCCAGGTTTTCATGGGCCTTACTTTGTTCTGCTTCTTGTTATTGTACTGCTACTGTCTTGTCAGACAATGTTATTTATTACCAACATTACTAAAAACAAGACTCCAATCAAATGTAATTTTTCATGCACGTGCTTTATGTATGACATAAATCTGTTTCTTTCCTAATCCTGACCAAAGACATGTCTTTTCGTATCTGCTGAATCTGAGAGTTTTATTCACTTTGGGCCATATATGGTAACTATATATATGTGTGTATATATATTTTATCACTAGCAACTTGAATATTCAGGGGGTTGATTCAGTTTTGGAGTTTTATTTAGTTTTTTGGTTGGCTAGTTGCTGTTTTGATTGGTTTTTTGTTTGTTTTGAGAAAGACTGCACAAAATAATAGTGTGCTTTGCTGTAATTCTGTGTGACATTGACTGAATTAATTATACTCTCAAGATGAGCAGAATCTTACGATAAGCAAGTAGATTAGCCAGATGTTTCAATGTACATTTTCAGTGCCTCATTGTATTGTGACACTGCCACAAGTTACCATGTTGTCAGGATACAAATACCAGAGTGCCCCATTATGCAATGGAGATGTGGAGTTAATATGTAGCTGTATAACTGCATCCTCTGTAACATCAACCTGCAAATGGAAGAAGACAGTGGTACTTAATCTTTCCTCCTCTTCTCTGGGATGCTCAGAGAACCTAAGGAGCCCACTGTTTCATATACCAACAGAATGCTTCACGTGCACCATATATCATGGAGTGCACTTTTGTGGATGATCCTCCCCTTGACTCAATCTATGGAGAACATCAGCTTCACTGAGTATCCTGTTTTTCTGAGTGAAGTTCCAGCAATGCATGAGTGAGGGTGTCTGTATCATTGTTATCACTGGTTTCTAATTTTCACTTTTACACTGTCCTTTCAATGTTTAATGCTCAGTAATCATATGTATTGCTTTAGGTTATACTGTCTATTGAAGAAGGTTACAGGCTACCAGCTCCTATGGGCTGCCCAGCTTCTCTTCACCAGCTCATGCTTCACTGCTGGCAAAAGGAGAGGAACCACCGTCCAAAATTTAGTGATATTGTCAGCTTCCTGGACAAACTGATCCGCAATCCAAGCACTCTTCATACCCTAGTGGAGGACGTACTTGTGTAAGACCCTTTTCAGTAACTTCTTTTGCATATACTACAGTGGCTATCATCAGGTGGTTTCAGGTAGGAGTGGGAGAGAGTGCCAAAGTGCTAAATATACAGTGATATGGGGGTACTTTTGACCTCCGCTGGAGTTTTGTTTTACTTGCAATACACTGTTGCAAAAGGTTTTTGTGGTTTTTTTTCTGAAGCTATGTGGATTATATTGGCCATTTTTCTTTTTTTTCTTTTCTCTTTTCATGAGCTCAGTTTGTTCACCGTCTATCTTTAATCTTTGAGAATCTCTTTGTGGAGTTTCTTGGTGCTTCTCTGATGTTTGTTTTCTCTTTGTAATTTTTTCTCCATTTAGCACCTTCTGTCCATCAGACTGTGTACTACCAATTTCTGAACTGCCTTAGAGTAAACTCCAGCAGAAAGCATTGTTAGCTTGCTAGAATCTATATTCATCTGCAGAAGAATGGCACTGGTGCCCAACTAGTGTATTGTACTATGACCTTTCCACAGCAAATTCTTGATAGTGTTGTCCAAAGTTCTATTAACTAATATTAATAAATAATATGTAATATGATATTACAGAAACATACACAGCCACAGGAGACATGAAACTGTAGTCAAACACGTTGTCAGTTTCCGTGTGCTGAAGGACCTAAGCTGCATACGCGTAGCAGCTGAAATCAGTGAAGTCACAGCTGTCCTCACTGTCTTCATTAGCTGAAATTCACCTTAATATGAAGACATTTTCTTAGAGATCTCCTGGCTTGTAAAGGATTCTTGTTGCCCATCTGGGTCTTGCTAAGAACCTCAAGAGGAGATTGTTATAGGAAGCTATTGGAAAAGGGATAAGCAACAGGGAAAACATTCAGGCTAGAATCTTGCTGTGGGAAAAGTTGAAGGGTGTGTTTATGAGGAAAGCCTAAAGTAGGCTACATCTGTTTTATCTACCACAAACTACTATGCCTTGTAGGGCTTGATCACAGAATCACAGATCACAGAATCACCCGGGTTGGAAGGGACCTCAAGGATCATGTAGTTCCAACCCCCCTGCCTAGCAGGGCCACCAAACACACACATTCAGATCAGGTTGCCCAGGACCCCGTCCAACCTGGCCTTAAACACATCCAAGGACGGGGCATCCACAACCTCCCTGGGCAGCCCGTTCCAGGGCCTAACCACTCTCCTTGTATAGAACTTCCCCCTAACATCCAACCTAAATCTTCCCTCCTTCAACTTCAATCCATTTCCCCTAGTCCTGCTGTTGTCAGCCCTTTTGAAGAGTTTACTCCCCTCGTGGGTGTAGGTTCCCTTCAGGTATTGATAGGCTGCAATGAGGTCACCCCGCAGCCTTCTCTTCTCCAGGCTGAACAAGCCCAACTCCCTCAGCCTGTCCTCATAGGGGAGGTGCTCCAGCCCCCTGATCATCTTAGTCGCCCTCCTCTGGACCCTTTCCAAAATCTCAATGTCTTTCTTGTACTGAGGGCTCCACACCTGGACACAGTACTCCAGATGGGGCCTCACAAGAGCCGAGTAGAGAGGGACGATCACCTCCCTGTCCCTGCTGACCACCCCTCTCCTGATGGAGCCCAGGATCCCATTTGCCTTTCGAGCTGCCAGAGCGCACTGCTGGCTCATGTTCAGTCTCTCGTCCATCAGGACCCCCAGGTCCTTCTCTGCCGAGCTGCTCTCAAGGACCACTCCTCCCAGCCTGTACGGGTGCCTGGGGTTCTTCCGGCCCAAATGCAAAACCTTGCACTTTGCCGTGTTGAACCTCATTAGGTTCACCTGAGCCCAGCCCTCCAGCCTGTCGAGGTCCCTCTGAATGGCATCCCTTCCTTCCACCGTATCAACCGCACCACTCAGCTTGGTGTCGTCAGCAAACTTGCTGAGGGTGCACTCAATTCCCTCATCGATGTCATTAATAAAGATGTTAAAGAGCACCGGTCCCAAGACAGACCCTTGGGGGACACCACTTGTTACCGGCCTCCACCTGGACATAGAGCCATTGACCACCACCCTCTGTCTGCGGCCTTTCAACCAGTTTCTTACCCATCGGGTCGTCCACCCATCAAATCCACTTCCCTCCAATTTGGAGATGAGGATGTGGTGGGGGACCATGTCAAAGGCCTTGCTCAGGTCCAGGTAAATGACATCAGTCGCCTTCCCTTCGTCCACCAATGCCGTCACTCCATCATAGAAGGCCACAAGATTAGTTAGGCATGACCTTCCTTTGGTGAAGCCGTGCTGGCTGTCTCGGATCACATGCTCATTCTTTATGTGATCGAGCATGTTGTCCAGGAGGATCCGTTCCATGATCTTCCCAGGCACGGAGGTGAGACTCACCGGCCTGTAGTTCCCCGGGTCCGCCCTGCTCCCCTTCTTGTATATGGGAGTGACGTGACCCTTCCTCCAATCATCCGGGACCTCACCTGACAGCCACGACTTCTCAAATATGATGGAGAGCGGCTCAGCAACCACCTCAGCCAGCTCCTTCAGGACCCTGGGATGCAAGCCATCCGGCCCCATAGACTTGAATTCATTCAGTCTAAGGAGACTGATGTCCACATGCTAGATTTAGTGGCCTCTTGTTTTATGTGTATGTTTTATGTGTGCATGTAAGTATATGCATATGGCTTACCACTGCACTTGGGTCAGTTTATTCAGTATCAGCATGATGCATTTTTCATTCATTTTTGTTTTAAAATATTATTCAAGATTTCCAGGATTCAGAGACTCTTTCATGTTCTCTTGCAGTTCAGCTCTTCTTGTACTCACCTTGGGAAAAATTTTGCATTTGTTTCAAAGTGCTTGATGCAGTTAATCTGAATTGCATTACTTTAACTTATTAGTTCAATAGATATTCTACAGGAATAGAGTAATTCAAATTGAAAGAAATCACTATAAGTGTGTGAACTAGCCTTGTTCCTAGCAGAGTTCTCCTGTCTCTCTGTAATTCTGATTGTACAAATGAAAACCCACGAGTTTAATGTATTCAAATATATATGCTTGAAACTCAGCATATTAATGCACCATGGTATGTTATAAGCAAGCTATATTCCATCTGACAATGTTAGCTGGCTTTTGCTGAAAAAGAAATTATTTTAAGTAATTTCTATCTGAAGGCTGTCATAAAGCTTTTATACACAACTGTGTGTTGGTTCTGCATTCTATTCCTTACAGTTTCTCTACACAAAATACAAAGTCTGTGCAAGCCGTGAGAACTCATCAGCATGGTAGACAAAGGAACAGTGGAAAAATATGTCCCCTCATTGTTTTATTTTGTTTTTGTTTTTGTTTTTTGTATTTCCATTTCAGTTGTACAATATGAGAGAAATGAAACAGAAATGAAACTAAACTAGCTTCTTCATTTTATTTGCTATTCTGTATAATTTTGTGTAAAAAGAAAAGATACAAAATATTCTTGCTTTTTTAGGTTTAGAATTCTAGCTGCTCTGATCAGTGTTCCTACTGTATGACGGCATAGCAAAAAGGAGCTATTGATTATTATTTCACAGAAAAATTATCTTGCAGTATGTTATTATTTTTAAATGGTATCTCAGATTAAATTTTGTTTGCTCTCTAATTTGACTGCTGTATTTACAAGCAGTTATCACCCTGAAACATATAAGATCTTCAAATGAACTCTGTGTGATCAGAGTAGGAACACTGGGAGTGGTCTGTTCCTGTTTGCTTTAGAGTTGCAGTGCTTTTGAAAAGTGTATTGTTTAAGAAGTGCAAATTTATAGATTAATATAACTTATAAGCTTTAGACAGCGGGTTAAAGAGAACCTCAGTTAAGACCTGACCTTTACATCTCAGGGTCCCTGTTTATTCCTTCTGCCTTTTATTAAAAATAATGTCTCCCAGAACAAATCAAGCATCATTTTATACTGCTCAGGTGACCTTTGCTTCTTATTTCTTCAGAATGCCAGATTCACCTGGTGAAGTCCCAGAATTTCCTTTGTTTGTTTCAGTTAGTGACTGGCTGGACTCCATAAAAATGGGTCAATATAAAAGCAACTTCATGGCAGCAGGTTTCACAACTCTGGATATGGTTTCGAGAATGAGTATTGAGTAAGTATGCAATCTATTATTTCTGTAGTGACTAATCTATTTGTTTGTGTACTGCAGTGACTTACTGTGAGGTGTTCTTTTCCTACCTAAGCTAATAGAAGATAAATACAGTTTTTACCAAAACAATATAGGAGAAAGTAGTGATTAAGAAACCTAGAAATGATAGTTTCAATTGTAACCATACCGCACACTAGAAAAGCTCAGGCAGTGAGCATCCTTAAATGTTGGAAAATGGGTTTTTGTTCAGACCACTGAAATCAGCAGTAGAATCTTTTCTTATTTTGCAATGAATATTGTCAAGTCCAAGTGATTCTTCGTGTGGAAACAGTTTCATACCTTGCTGCCTTTCTTCAGCCAGCCTCAGCTTCACTCAATTTTGCAACGAAAACACTATAGAACATAAGGATTTGGAGAAACTCTGGATTAGTATGGTAGCATAATGATACTACCTATTTTGCTCTTGATTCTCTTCCCATTCATTCCTAATCATCTACTCGATCATAGAATCACAGAATATCATGAGTTGGAAAAGACCAGTGAGTCCAATTCCTGGCCCAACACAGAACCACCCAAAATCCAAACTCTGTGTCTGAAAGTGTTATCCAAATGCTCCTTGAACTCCAGCAGTTCAGAGCCATTCCTCTGCTGTGGACAGCCTGTTCCAGGGCCCAACCACTCTCTGGGGAGGAACTTTTTCCTAATCCTCACCCAACAGTTTCCTGATGCAGCTCCATGCTGTTCTCTAGGATGCTGTTGCTGTCACAGAGAGCAGAGCTCAGTGCTGCCCCTCCGCTCCCCTCGTGGGGGGGAGCTGCATGCTACCATGAGGCCTTCTCTCAGCTCCTCTGCTCTGTGCTGGACCAACCAGGGGACCTTAGCTGCTCCTCGTATGCCTTGCCCTCCAGACCGTGCCTCATCTTTGTAGCCCTCCTCTGGATGCTTTTGTCAAGCTGTGTGCTGCCCATTTGGTCCGGAAGGATAAAAAGCAGCATTGAAAGGTTTGTTGAAATACAAAAGATTACGTCTACTGCCTTGTTCCCCATCTAAATGGGGACTCTTGTTGTAATAGGAAATTGAATTTGCTAAACAGAACTTTTCCCTCATGCACCTGTGTTGGCTGTGACTAATTGAACTCCTAACTTCAGCTGGTGCTGTTGTGTACTGTAAAACTGAGATTAACATGAGTTGAGTTCTCCCTGCTGTTGTTCTGGGACCAGGTGACCTGCAGAGGTCCATTCCGACTTCAGTCTGTAGTTCTGTCTCTGCAGCTGTGCAGCAGTGTTGTGCTCAGCACTCTATGCCCACGTTCTCCCACTCTAAGTGTTCCATGTCTTTCTTGTGCTGGGGGCCCCAGGCCTGGACGCAGCACTCCAGATAGGCTTCACCAGAGCTGAATACAGGGGGACAATCATCTCCCTCTCCCTGTTGGACACTTCTCTTTTAATGCAGCCCAGAACACAGTTGGCCTTCTGTGCATGCTTCTGGCTCATGTCCAGCTTCTTGTTTACCAGAACCCCCAAGTCCTTCTCCGCAGGGCTGCTCACAAGGGCTTCTTCTCCTAGTTTGTATAAGTACCTGGGATTGCTTCAGCCCAAGTGCAGCACCCTGCACTTGGCCTTGTTGAACCTTATTAGATTCACATGGTCCCACTTCTCCAGCCTGTTCAGGTCCTTCTGGATGGCTTCCCTTCCTTCTAGTGTATCAACTGCACTGCTCAGCTTGGCGTTATCTACAAACTTGCTGAGGGAGCACTCGATGCTGTTGTCTGCCTCACTGATGAGGATGTTGAAGAGCACCAGTTCCAGGACCAACCCCTGAGGGACACTGCTCATGACTAGCCTCCACCCTGATGCAGAACCATTAATCACAACCCTTTGGCTGTTGACTGGACAACCAGCTCTTAATCCACCAAACAGCCCAGCCCTCAAGTCTGTACCTCTCCAATTTAGAGAGCAGGATGTAGTGAGGGACCACATCAAAGGCTTTGCAGAAGTCCAGGATGATGACATCTGTTGCCCTTCCCCAATCCATCGATGCTGTCACTCCATCATACCATCATAGAAGGCCACCAGATTGGGCAAGCAAAATCTCCCCTTGGTGAAGCCGTGCTAGCTATCTTGAATCACCTCTTTGTCTCATATGTGCTTTAACAAAGCTTCTAGAAGGATCTGCTCCATGATCTTCCCAGGCACAGAGGTGAGGCTCACTGGCCTATGGTTCCCCAGGTCTTCCTTTCTATCTTTCTTAAAAATAGGAATAATGTTTCCCTTTTTCCAGTCACTGGGGACTTCGCTGGACAGCCACAATTTTTCAAATATGATGGAGAGTGGCTTGGCTACCACGCCAACCATCTCTCTCAGAACCCTAGGATGGCTATCATCTGACGATATGGACTTTCAGTTGTGTGAGGAAGTCTCAGACTTGTTCCACTGTTACAGTGGAACAGATTCCACTTCCCACATCCTCACCTAGAGGTTCAGGGTCCAGCAGATGTGGGAAGCCTGACCAATAGTGGGAAAAAAAAATCCAACTAGTATGGAATTATCTACCTTAAACAGAGGAATATCACTTGGCATGGATAATGGGATTCTTTTGGATGTATCAGCTATAAATATCAAAGTAATATTGTGGGAGTAAAACTGTAAATGGCTGCAGTTATTGACAAGAACATTGAGGTTTCTGAGTTATGAGAAGAAACTGAAACACCTTCGAAATACTTATAATGAGACTCAGAAGTCACATACAAGATCTAAGATTTCTTAAGGCACTCCTCTGGATGATAGTCCCAGTGCTGGTAATGTGTAAATACTGGCTTCTACTGATATCAGCTCATTCTCATTTCTGATGCTAAGGCTATCTGTATTATCAGTAGTAACAGTCAGTTTATATTCAGGAATTTTACACATGAAGTTAGAACTGGTTTTCTCTCATACATATCACTTTACATTCACCTATGCTTAATTTCACGTACTTTTTTTATGGCATAGTCTTATAGAACTTATAAAACTCTTTACCTTTCCCTTGATACCCTGAATAATTCAATCTCACTATCTGACACTTTCACCTCTTTGCTCATCTGTTTTTCCAGGCCATTTACTGACTTGTTGAACAGTAATGTTCATCATTATCCTAGCATTGGTCCCTGCATATTCTCGCTGATGACTCCATTGTAAAATTTGACAACCTACTCCTAATCTGTCTTCTACCCGGTTATTTATTCATGAAAAGTGCTTCTTATGACACAGCTCATTTTCCTTATATGCCTTTGATGAGAAACTTCTCTAAAGTCTTTTGGAAATCCAGCGGTGTATCAGATGGGTCATCTTCATCCATGCGTGTTGTGACTTCACCATGTGCATAGTGATTCCTCCATAGGAAACAACTTTATAAAACAAGACTTCTCTCTGCAAAAGCCATAGTGCCACTTCCAAAGCAGATCATTTATCCAGGCATTCAATAATTCCATCCTTTATTGTATTTTCTACTGTGCCTTGTAATGATTTTAGACTCACAGGTCTGCATTTCCCAGACCTCTCCAGGAAACTCTGCTTTGTCTCCAAAATAATTTTGACACCACTCTCCATGTCTTAGGCACGAAGGAAATTTTAAGTGTAACAGTGCTGATAATCTCTTTCTCACATTGCTGTCACTGTTTCATCTTTGATCTTTTTTAAAAGCCTTGACTAAATACTTTTTTGTTCTGGATTGCTGGTTGGTTTTTTTTCAGTTTGTCCTGTAACTTGTCTTGCGGTCACTTCAACTTCAGATGGCTCCTCTGACAATTCCCCATAACAGCTCTGGCTTGTGAGTTACTCAATGTCATCTGCAGTGAATGTCAACTAAATAATTGGTTTTGCATTCCTGACAGCGGTCAGTCTCTTGATGCTCTTTTATACAGCATTCAAAATTAGACTCTACAGACACGCTGGCTGGCTTCTTGTATCCTGTGAGCTTACAAAAAAAAAAAAAAAAGTTTATTACAAGCTCTATTATTAAGGGACTTTGGCTGGTTTTTCCTCAAGCAGTTTTGTCTGCCTTACAGCACTCTTACAGGCACTCTGCCTAAGGTTATCATCCTTTCTACTTTCTTTTTTTTTTCTTTTTTCTTTTTTTTTCAGATAACTTCAGCTTTTTGAAAACTTCTTTTCTCTTCACGTAACCTTTCTGACTCTTGGGCTCTTGGCTTCTTTCTGAGTTGTATCAGTCTGTACTTGATAAGCACTATGCACTGTTCCTGCATTTCTATCATTGCCCCACCTGTAAAAGTTTATTCTCCTAGCTGCTTCTTTTTAGTTTCTAAGATGTTCAGTATTTTTTACACAGTCCCTGCTGGTCTTAAGTGTTGTGTATTATTCCCCATGAGAATGTTAAGCCTAAACATATAGCAGTTGCTGCTATCTAGTGACTCTTCATCTGCTGGATATGGAGTATCTTAACCTGCAAATTTGAAGCTCAGAAGGGTCATGCCTCCAACCATGGGCTCCTTTATCACCTATATCATAAAACAATTTTTAAGGCTATCTAAACAGTGCAATGTCAATGCCATGTCCTATTGTGGGGTTTGTGCAATTGACAGGATGATATTGAAGCTTCCTGCCCTTGCCACCTCTGTGATCTTCCTCAGTGTATTGTAGTTAGTGATGTTTAGAGAACTGCCAAACACCACCATTCCCCAGATCATCAGAAGCACACCTTCAGTTCCTTCAACCTCAGGACTGTGAGAGTGAGTATACCAGCCTTGGTCCTGTGTAATAATGAGTGGAACATTTGCTGCTAACATATTACTAACAAATGGCTATCAGAGCACACTTTTAAGGTGCTTTCTCAAGCTCTACAAATTATTAGCCTGTTTTAGATTGTTACTTTCAGAACAAATGGCAGTGCTCTGACTACATGGTATTTTTTTCTCAAATGGCACTTGTTCAAAATTTGGAATTGACAGACGCAGAAAATTCAGTGCCTGCAGCACTCACATATGTTCCACTTGTGGAAGTAAACTGTCCTTAAGCAGAGCAATTCATCGTATATTTATATGCTTTTGTATGCTAGAGTTCTTACTATACTTGTATCCATGATGAAACTTTTTATCTTGCAGTGACATTAGAAGAATTGGAGTTGTACTCATTGGACACCAGAGACGAATAGTCAGCAGTTTACAGACTTTGCGGTTACACATGATGCACATACAGGAGAAAGGATTTCATGTATGAAAGTACTAGAATCAACTGTGTTTTGTGCCTCAGCATTTCTAAAACGAAAAATATTCTCATTCTTCCCTTCTGCTTTTCTCAACTTCAAGAACTGCAGTCTCCTGGTTAGACTCCAAAAGTACTTCTACGTTAATGCTTCCAAACTGGAATTTTTAATCACACTGCATAGTTCCTCTGTCAGTTATCTGCCAATAAAATCCTGACCTACTGCAAGACTTGCTACACACTGATGAATAATAACTCAGCAACTCAGCATGGATGTGTAACTTTGTATAACAGTACTTGGGAAACTTTCACAAACTTACTGGAAAGTAGTAATCTGTTTGGCCTGGTGTGGCTTCTTTATCGATGTATTTAGAGTTTGCTGGTAGATCAAAACGTATTTGACTTCTTTCATGTTCTGTGACCATGTAACTTCCAATACCAAATGTGCAATCAAGAAGTTTCACATAAATATTTATTTTGTCTTCTAATTAAATCAAAATGTATGGGTCCTATGGTTATATTACTTTATAATAGTTTAAATGCTGGTAAGCCGGTGCCTCAAAATGTGAACATTGTTTGCAAAAATGACTGATGATTTTATGTAGTGAGTTTTCATTGTTTTGGAACTGGGAGGATAGTGAGAGAAATCTGGCTGAAGTCTTCAGGTCCTTGATTCTGAACTATGTTAGCACTCGACACTTTTTATGCTTTAAATTTTAGGTAAGGTCAAAATATTTATTCAGCCCTAGTTTTTTTATTTTATTTTATTTTTAATAGTCAGCATTTGCCTCTATTCCATGGTAAATTGTCACCAGAAGACTGGATGTAATGTTTCCATAACTACATGTAAAACATGGTTGTCCGCTATACTGTGGTTACATAGACTTCAGAAAGTTTTCTGTTCCAAAAATGTAGGCCTCCACAAGTTGAACTGTCATTTCCACCAGTGGTAGTAGATTTAGAGAGTCAATCATCAGTGGGGTGCTGGAGCAGATTGGCCGTAGCATCATCCAATTGAAGATAGTGGTACAGCCACAAACTAATGCTGGAAGTTACGCTCTGTGGTGTTCAGTTTTATTATACGTAGGCAGAAAAGGAGACATAGGACAGCAGTGTATTAATATGTTGCCTTGAGTCTACTTCTAACTGCTTTTAGAAGTGAAAAGCAGACTGCTGAAATGGAGTTCTGGTTTCTGTGGGGGCCAGATCTTCATTCAGTACAAGTTCCGAAACAATATCAAAGATAATTACTTTTAGAACTCTTCAATAGCCATATTTACATGCAAGAAAAATGGCTGCAAAGGCCTAACATAATATTTATACCTCTCTAAGATTTACAGCTTTCATGTTTTATTCATGCAACTTACACAGATGTGCTGGGCTACATTTCCAAACTTTTGCATGAGATATGTGCTGCTAGAAACTGGGACACGAGCGCATGTCTGCGAACTGGAGAAGTCACACGCAGATCTACATGCATGTCACATGTAAACTGGGTTTTTGTTAATTTATGCATAGTTTGGAGGACATTCTCAAGTTACACGGCATTTCAATATACTTAAAGATTACAAATCTTCAGTTAAATGGCGCATTTGGGTAATTACTATAATATATTTGTATATCAAAATGAATTAACTACATTATGTAATCATAATGATATTTAGTGCTTAATTTACAGCTTGTAAATCAAATTGTATTTCCTGACTCTCAGAAAGGCTACTGTTGTATGCTGGTGGCAAAGAAGGAAAAGCAGAAAGCAACTCAAAAAAAATTAGGCTTCCAGCTGGTTCACAGAGTTAAGACATGCTAGGCCTGATTCACTGTTGTTACCTTACGTTAGAATAACTTCATTAATTTAAATGGATACAAGTAGTGAACTGCAGAAATTTTTCTTTCTTCTGTTAAAAAAACAAAAACAATGAAACAACAGATTTAACTGAAGAAAAAGTTTTCTAAAAGTAAGTATTCACCAGTGTTCTATGATGTCAAGTTGATAAGCATGTTTAAAGAAGGGCAGTGCTAGTCTTATTTTAGCTACAAATTTTATCAGCATGGGTAGTCCCACTGACCTCAGACTGATAAATTCTGCCCCAATTCCAAATCTGAGGTTTTAGGATTTTTTTTTTTTTTTTTTTTTTTGGCAAGGGTGCCCTTAGAGAAATAAAATCATATCTACCTTAAGCCTTTTAAAAAAACAACATCACAGAGTAATTTAAGATTTGTTTTTTCTTTATTATTTCATTTCCTAGAATGCCAGGCATTGCTTTTATGGCCATTAATGTGACATCTGTGAAAGGAGGCTGTCACGTTTAAATTTATTCCTGAAGAGATATGAGTCTGTTATTTGCTAATAGAGTTTCAAAATTGCTCATAACTAGACCAGACCATAAATGTGCACTTTTAAATTCTTGTTTGAAAATTTATTCATTCTTGGTAGTGCATACACAAAGCTGTACGTTACATGAACACAACCTGGTTATACTTCATGGAAGTTAATTTCCAAATTCATCACGCTACTGAAAATATATTTTCAAATAATATATAATAACAATATAAAAACATTTATTAATCAGATCTATTTTTTATATGAATAAGAATTTGGGTAACCAGAAAGAAAAGAAGAAGGGATTTCAATGAGACCGTTTATTAAAAACATTATAAATCCAGGATTTTGGGGGGGTTTATATGGTTTGTGTTTTTTGTTTTGTTGGTGCAATATGACACATTTATAATAGTTGTTCTGATCAAATTTACATTTAGTCCATTTTGGAAACATTTGATTTGCTCTTGTTATGTTTCTAACCCTACTCTTCCATTTTATTCAGCACAAAGGAAAGTGCTACCATTACGGCTGTTCATATTTTTGTTCATTCAAAAACAAGAACAAAAAAACTTTTTTTAAATTGTTTTTTCAAATGTGAGCTCAATTCTGTGCAAGCTACAAGTGTAAATGTGAAATTCAAGCAACTTTCTTTATTGCAGGGAATACTTTCTTCGGGTGAAAATTATACCATTTAATTAACCTGTATATCGTAGTGTGCAGTTACTGATTAAATTTAACAAATTCAAGTAAATCTAGAAATCCGCTTTTGAAAATCTGGCCAACATTGCACGGTGTTTCATGACTAAAAGTACTCATTGAAAATTCATGAAATAAAGACTGCATGATATACAAGCCCCCTAAAAATTGATTAAAATGTGGACATAAGGAAATAGTTCCAAGCTTGTTATTTACAAGTGATATCCATGCACAGGCTTTTCTAACAGGTGTGGTAGTCATGCATCTAGAACAAATCCATCTGTACTGTTATCACTACCTGGGTACAAGTTAAGTCTTCAGAAGATAGTTTTAATGAGGGCCTTTGTCTGCTGGGCAGGAAAACCGGGTTAGCATCTCTTGGTCAATAAGTGCACTACCCAGTTGTCCATCATGTGTCAACCACTGTGCTTCCTAAGTTAACTGACAAGCAGCTTAGATATTCATTGCAGCCAAGTGGGTCAGTCATCAGTCTAACATGGAAACTCAAGCCATCCCCACCTGATGGAAACTCAGAACCCCAAGACCTATTAGGGGGAAATTTTTTCTCACCTAACTTTGGAGGTGTGCATTTGAGCTAGTCATCTTAGGTTCCATTTAATTAGTGAAGAGAACAGGGCCCTTGTAGTATTCACATAGTGATAAATGTCATCTGACAGATGTAATCATTAACTTTTGGGTGAGAAGAAATATGCCAAACCAGCACTTGAGACAAAATGACTAACTCAGCTTATAGAAGCAGAGAAGGAAGCATAGGGGCATGGAATGGCTGGGGTTGGAAGGGACCTTAAGGTTCATAAAGCTCCAACCCACCTGCTGCAGTGGCTGCCAACCTCCATATCTAATACCAGATCCAGGCATCTGTTCTTAATCTTGTGCACTGATTGTATCTGGTCATCGTGCTGAACCTCTGAAAAAGAGAGGACACCATGTGTAATGCTGATGTTGACATTCAGTGTGTAACAGCATAATGTCTGTCCAATGAAAGCTTAGGTGCGCGCTGTGCTTTAATACATCAGCATCAGGCTATCTTACAGTTGGAAATAGTACACTCAGCAAGTAATTCAAGTAACTTAATTGCTCTGGACAAAGCATTCTGTGTCAGAAGATTGTTTATTCTGACACAGGATTCAAACTGTACCACTTAATTTTTGTAATTTAAGACTCGCTATTCGTTTTCCATTTTTATACATACGCTGAACCTAATTCTGAGCTCCATGAAGTTCTTTTTCAATGCAGATTCACCTTTTATAGTAACAAAATAATATTAATGAAAAGAATTTGGTCTATTGCATCTTCTAAGAAAAGTATTAGAAATTGGAATACTTCATTTATCATGGCATCTGTGCATGGTTGAAAAGTATTGTATTGTGTTAAACAGGTTTCTTTCGGAATGCCCTTGCTCCCTAACTGTAGTTGATCTTTCCTGAGCAAATTGCAAAAATATTTTTTTTTCTTTATTAGTAGTAGTATTTTTTTTAAAGAATAAGGAAGAGATCTGTTAAGTTGGGCTAACACCAAGTACTACAGTGATCTTGAAATCTCTCAGAGAGACAAATGAATCAGTACTGAAAAGGGGGGAAAAAAAATCTAAGAAGGTTAGAATAAGGTGAAAGAAAACTTTCTATATCGTGCCAAGGAGTTCTAACAAAAACAAAAGAAATGGCACAAAAACAGTTCATGTATTTAGAGTCCACAGATCTCTTCTACCGTCTCATCTGTGAATGCTATGGTTGTATATAGATCCTCAGATTATGGACTAGGACATACTGAGTACATAGTGGATATAAAAAATATGTGGATGTGTATACAAAGAATTGTAAATATAATGTATATCATAATGCCTGAGATTTTTCAAGCATACATAAATTAATTATCTGGCTCTCAATAATGGTAATAGGGTTGATCTCCACTGGCACTTAAAATTGTTAACTTCCCAAATTTCCTTGGCTTGTTATCTGGAAAATGGATGACAGCCTCTCTCTTCCTCCCTTCACAGGCAGAAAAAAAAAAAAAGAAAAAAAAAGAAAAAAAAAGAAAAAAAAAGAAAGAAAGAAAGAAAGAAAAAAGCTTTCTTAGTTCAATGTAGTCCATGCTTATAATAAGTTTGAGTACCTCTGTTGAAGTCACCAAAGATGAACAGTATATAAATGATTTTCTTTTAAATAGTCTTTTATGGACTCTTTTGAGGTGAAAACAGAGGAAAAATTCAAGGGAATGTAAGTAATGATTTGCCAGTATATACTATAAAAAGGTATGTTGAATTTTAGAAAGGAAAAACAAAAAAAGATGAATGTAAGAACAGAAGGCTAGAAATAAGTAGGTTAAAATAAATTTCCATATTTTATATGTGAAATAACACCAGTTCACATCGTGAATCCTATTTGTGTGCAAATTTCTTTGAATATTCTACATCAGTATTTCCTACTCTCCTTTCACACAGGAGATTTCACAAGTACATCTCTCTTCCACAAGGGGTTAACATATTGTCTGATTTTACATACATGTCTAATTAAACTGAACTTAATAAGGCTAAGTTGTGGCACTGAAGATGTGGAAAAGTGTGTTAATAAGATCAATGTCAAAAGCATTTCAAGCTTTCACCTGTTCTGCTTTGTTCATGTCCCAAATTTTCAACTGTGTCTC